GTACAGGGTTTCCAAGGAGCGGTGGGTGGGTTTGAACTGCTGACCTTGTGGTTCATACTGACCTTGTGGTCGAGTGCTTATCCTACAAGCACTACGCCAGGCCTCCAGTGAAGTAGTTGTTGTTAAGTGCCGTCGAGTCAGTTCTAAACCATAGAGATCTTGTATAGGGTTTCCGAGGAGTGACTGGTGAGCTTGAACCACCAACCGACTTTGCAATCCAGCGCATTAACTCACAGTGCCACACCAGTGGAGCAGCAGCAATTGTTAATTAAATCTTGGTGTGAGTACAAATCCTTTTATTTTTTGGGTAACAAAATAGGAAGTACGCATAAAGTGCCACTGCTGTATACTGAAGAATCGTTGTCTTGAAGCAAAACACATAAGACTATTGGGGTTTTAAGTTAACTAGTCATGTTTTTTGCCCTCAAACACCACTTTCAAGCAAAACAATTACTAACAACTATGGCTATTTAGAGTTGGGTGGCGCTGTAGGATAATGTACTGGATCACAAGGTTAAGTTTGAAACGCAAGGTTGGTGGTTCAAACGTATCAACCTCGGAAACCCTATATAGGGTCACTATGAGTCAGAATCAACTTGACAGCGCTTAACAACGACATTCTCAGGCATGGTCTCAAAAATTAATAATCTGGGCCTGTCATTTCAAAGAAAACAACTGATAATTGTTGCCACTGATCTCTGTATTTCCTAGTCTGGTCTTCTTATAAAAGTGGAAACATATACTATTGGTCCTTGGTGACTGACTTATTTCACTTAGCATTAGTCCTCTAGATCCATCTGTGTTATAAGAATACTGTTTTGATGGTTCATCCATGTGGTAGTATGTATCAGTACTTCATTCCTTTTTATAGCTGAATGGATAAACACATTTTGTTTATATGTTGGTCAGCTGATGGACATTTGGGTTCTTTCAATCTTTTGGCTATTTTAAATAATGCTGTTATGACCATTCTTGAACAACTTTTTGTATGGATATATGCTTTCATTTCTTTGGGGTGTTGTGGCTGTTTAATCATTTGAAGAACTGCCAGACTATTCTCCAAAACAGTTATGCCATTTTATATTCCTATGAAGGTAGTAATTTTCCACATCTATGTTAACACTTAAGGAGCTCTGGTAGCCTAGAGGTTACGAATCGGGCTGTGAACTGCAAGGTCAGCAGTTCGAAACTACCAGCTGTTCTGTGGGAGAAAGATGAGGCGTTCTGCTCCCGTAAAGATTTAAAGCCTCAGAAACCCTGTACAGGGTCGCCATGAGTCGGAACTGACTCCACAGCGCATAAGCACTTATTTTCAGTGACTGCCTTAATAAGAACATGAAAAACACCAAATAATGGTGAAATAAGCACAGCTTGACCAAGGTAAATGATGTCACTAAGAAGTACAATAGAAAAAGTTTTTGGTAAGTGCTATGACATACATTAGTGTAACCATATTACTAAAAAATAGTAGTGTGGTTACATATGTATGTGAGTATGTGGACATGTACACATATATTTATATATACATCCATACATGGATTCGGCACTATAGGATAAGCTCTAAAATATCAAAATATCAGTGGTTCAAACCAAAATATCAGTGGTTCAGACACCTCAGTTGCTCCTTGGGAACCCTATACAGGGTATCAATGAGTAGGAACCAAGTCGCCAACACTTAAAAACAAGAATACATCCATACAAATTCATATATACAATAAAGCACATAGGCACAGACACACATTTCTTAGACTTAACCAAATACCTCATGGGATTGGTTTACAGGGTCTGAAAGCTTAGGTCCATAGTATGCAAAGTTTACGTTCTACATCCTAGTTTAGTGAGTAGTGTCTAGGGTTCTAAAAGCTTGCAAGCAGCTATCTAAGATACAACTACTGATTTCATTGTATCTGCATGAAAAGAGAAGAATCCACAGAACTAATAGTCTACACAACCAACAGCCTCATTTACCTTGAGACCAAAGAATTAAATGGTACTCAACTATCACCACTGAACCGACTCGACGGCTCTTAACAATAACAATAACAACAACTATCACCACTGACCATTCTGAACAGGAACACAATTGTTGACAGGCGCTGTGAAGTTGGTTCTGACTCATAGCAACCAAATGCACAACAGAACAATGCCATTGCTGCGATCACTGTGTCAATCCACCTCACTGAGGATCTTTCTCTGTTTCTCTGACCCTCCACTTTACCAAGCATGATGTCCTTCTCCAGGGACTGGTCCCTCCTGATAACATGTCCAAAGTATATGAGAGATGAAGTCTTGCCAGAACGTTCTGGTTGTACTTCTTCCAACACAGATGTGTTTGTTTTCTGGCAGTCCATGGTACTTTTAATATTATTCTCCAACACCATAATTCACATGTATCAATTCTTCCATGATCTGCCTTATTAACTGTCCAACTTTTTTTTTTTTTTTTTAAAGCTTTTATTGTGAATTGAGTGATAAGTTTACACAGGAGAACATCCAATCTATTGTATTTTGTTTCATTGCAATGATTACAATCCCCTCCAAAGGCACATTCTGCAAGCCAGCCTCCTGGCCACCAGAATACAGATTTTCTCTTTCCATGAGTCTAGAGTCCTCAGCTGCTCTCTCTCTCCATGTGCTCACCTCTGCCTCCATCTCTGGCATTGCTGCTTCTCTGGTTAGGTTCTGCTCATGCTCTTTTTTTTTTTTTTTAATGTTTTCTTGTGAATTATATGATAGTTTAGATGAGAGAACCTCAGTTCCATATTCATTCCATGGTATATCATTACATTGCCATGGTTCCAATCCCCTCCATGCCTCGTCTTCCAACCAAAGGGCATATCCTAGAAGCCCGTGCTCTACCCTTCCCCCTCAGTCTTCGGCCCACAGTTCCTTTCCCTCTCTGGATCCAAAGTCCCCAGCCGCTTCATACCTCCTTGTCATCATCTCTGTCTCCATCTCAGGCATCCCCGGTTCTTTGGGTGGGGTCCCGTTCTCGGCTCTTATCCGTTGGTGGTCCCAGAGACCTCCGCTCTTAGACTGGAGAAATAATCACTCTCTTCCTTGCTACAAAATATCAACCCTTGCATTTCCAACACTCACAATTGGTCTTGATAACCATTATTCACTACAGTATCGCACGTTACCCATCTGTATTTCATTTCATCAGCTCCACCTAGACAAATTGGATAGTACTCACTGGTGATTCTGCCTTCCTCTGCTCATGCTCTTTTGATGGTCCAAGGGTCCTCTGTTCCTGGATTGTAAGATTAACTACTTGCCCCTTTTTGTTATCTAACTTCTACCTTTACAGTTGTGACAATTGCAATTATTCATGATAACAATTACTCACTATTGAATCAAAAGAATCCTATTCCTATCTCCTTTAACTAGACCCATCTAACAAGATGAAAAACGATTCCAACTTTTATATGCATACTAGGAAACTGAAAATACTACGGCGCACCTTAGTCTTCAAACTGGTATCTTTGCTCTTGAACACTTTAAAGAAGTCTTGTGCAGCAGATTTGTCTAATGCAACACACTGTTTGATTTCTTTACTGCTGCTTCCATGACTCTTGATGGTGGATCCAAGCAAAATGAAGTCTTTGACAACTTCAATCTTTTCTCCAATTATTATGATGTTATTTAATTGTTCAGTTGTGAGAGGAGTTTCATTTACTTTATGATGCAATCCACACTGAAAGCTATAGTCTTTGATCATCAATATTGCAAGTCCTCTTGGCTTCCAGCAAACAAGATTGTATCATCTGTATATTGCAGGTTAATTAATCTTCCTCCAATCCTGATACCATGTTCTTCTTTGTATAATCCAGCCTTTCATATTATTGCTCAGCATACAGATTGATTTAAGTATGGTGGAAGGATACAACCCTGGCAAACACCTTTCCTCATTTTGAACCATTCCGTATCTCCTTGTTTTGTTCGAATGACTGCCTCTTGGTTCATGTATAGATTCCTCATGACCACAATGAAAGGTTCTGGAATATCTATTCTTGGTAATGTTATCCATAGTTTGGCATGATCTAGTCAAAAGCCTCTGCCCTAGTCAAAAAAGCACAAGTAAACATCTTTATGGTGCAGATAAATCCGAATAGAATGGGAGCAAAATGTGGAACAGAACTCAAATCCTTAAAAAGTCTACATTAAAAAAAAAAAAAAAGTCTAGATTTGCTGAACCAGTTGAAACCAAAGTTTCTTGTGACTATCACCCTGAGGTAATCTTTAAGAACCTAAATTACTCCAAGAGAACATCTCTTAGCGAAATAACAGACTGGCTCATTTTGTATCTTTTTTTAAAAATGTTTTTATGTAAAAAATCATAGTTATGAGACCAAATTATCAATATTTACTCAAAAGCAAAGAGAAGAAGGCAAGGGGGCAGGGAAACTGGAGTACTGGAAATGGAGTAACCAGAGTAGAATTAATGAGAAAAATGGACACATTGTGAAAAATGTAACCAATGACACTGAACAAATTGTGCAGAAATTGTTAAACAGGAACTTAATTCACTATATAAACTTTCACCAGAAACAAAATTTCCATTAAAGGAAAAACAAAACAAAACAAAAAACTGGCCTGCTTTATCCATAAAATGGTAAGATCTACACTCTTTCTGAGGTTCCCTAAAAAGAACACATGCTGAGAAATGCAGCTTTTATAACAGTAAGTGTGGAAAAAGTAAATGCAAACCAACTAAAATAATACAAAGCACACATAATAGGACACTGGTTGCATTTTTGTACATATAAAGTCTTCCACATCTATATTCACTTCTGTCTCTCTCTCACACACACAGAGACATCTAAATTGAAATGGAGTCACAGTAGGGTTAGTAAAGTAGGGTCCATAATAGACATTTTGTAGAAGAGTCAAATGTGATGCAAACTCACAATGTAAAAATGAAAATCCCTGTTACATTTAGCATGCTAGTCATGGTGTTAAGAAATCTTAAATGTCATGGCACATAGGAGGTTACTTACAGGAGAGAGTTTCTGGATGAGGTCATGGGCAACATGAACAAGGTTCTTGTCTTCATGGAGACACTTCTGAAATTTTTTGCTCTCCTCATCTTCTAGTAGATCAAAATCAATGGCAGCATCTAGTAAGGCCTGAATTAATCCCTTCCAGGATTTTAGGGCTGGAACCTGAGGAGCAACTGCAGCACTGATGCCTGTTCCAATCACCAGCACGAGCTCCCTAGGCTTCTTAGTTTTTAAACTTGGAAGCAGCTTCCTGAAAAAGTGAAACAAGATGATGGGGAGCATCCAATATATATGAGGCACATGGAAAGAAAATCTGACTAAAACCATGAGTTTAGCTATAAAGTCTGTAGCAGCAAAGATGGCAAATACATTTCTGACAGTTCTCCAAACTTGCGTAAGCAAAAGGACCAGATTATTGTGCTAGTGTTGCAAAGGAAAAAAATGATTTCAGGAATCCTAAAAAGTAAGCTTGAAATCAGTTTTCTCCTTTCTACTGCTCTCAGCCTATGAAAACTATTAGTATTATAAAAAGATACAAGTATAGCTCAGTAGAATTCTAAGAATGAAACTATATTTTAAGCTGATATTAAATTTCAAAAGAATATGTTTGATTTGGATTTCAGAAAGAGAAGAAAAATGGCCAAAATTAAATACTGTTGGTAAACATAAGTATAAATGAAAGTCAATAAAAATTTTAACCCAGATTTTTGACATTGTTATGATAAAATTGGACATGAGCTAGTCAGTTTGGGAACAAATCTACTCTCACATTTCTACACTTCCCCAGGAAAGAAAAGAAAAAGAAAATGACCATCAGAATTCTAAAAACACAGGAACCTCACACACCTGAATAAACAAAAAAAATAAAGAGCCAAAGGACATAGCAAAAAGGGAAAACCATTCCTTTCTCACCATGACAAAGCACAGGCAGAGGTCTGTCCTGAAGCTTACATGTGAAATAGCATGGGTATAAGCTTTTGTTGGCTTTTTTGTCCCACCTTCCCTGCATTCCAGAGACTGTATTAAAATCCCTGTTTGAACTGTTTCTTCACTTTAATTACTATTGCTGATATACTGTTAGTAAAGAAACTACCTTCCTGAATAGTCTGTCAAAATAATAATAAAATGGATAAAATCAGTAACTGAATTTTAGTATTAAAAATCCTAAGAGAATTTAATTTTTAGTTTGCTTTTAGTTTGGGAAACCTGTTTAGGGTAAACAACTTCTAGATTGCAATCCTTATTCCCAATCATTGAATTCAACCATTTATTAAAGATGAAAAACCTAAGCATAATGCTATTTAGATACCCTGAACATACTGACTGAAGGACTGAGGAAAGCAAGGAGAACATGAAAAAACTTAAGAATTTAGAAAAGCAGTACAAGAACAAACAGCAAAATAAATGCAAAGCTTAAAACAATATAACATGTGCAAAAAGAAATCCAGAAGATTGATATTAAGAGCTCACAAAGTACACTATACTGAAAGAGCAAAGGAGTAGATTTAAATAAACAGAAATCCAAATCAGTGACCTGGAAGATAAATCTCTGAATATTAGTAAGCTAAAAGAAAAGTTGTTATTGTTATTAGATGCTGTCGAATCAGTTCCAAGTCATTGTGGCCCTATCGCACAACAGAATGAAACACGGCCCAGTCCTGCGCCAATCTAATAATTGTTGCTATGCTTGAACCCATTGCTGCTGTAACTGTGTCAATCCATAACGTTGAGTGTCTTCCTCTTTTTCACTGACCCTCGACTTTACCAAGCATGATGTCCTTCTCCAAGGACTGATCCCTCCTGATATGTTCTAACAATGAGAGACAAAGTCTGGCCATCCTGGTTTCTAAGGAGCATTCTGGCGGTACTTCTTCAAACACAGATTTGTTTGTTCTTTTGGCAGTCCATGGCATTTTTAGTATTCTCTAACACCATAATTCAAATGCACCAATTCTTCTACCGTCTTCTTTATTCATTGTTCAACTTTTGCATGCATAGGAGGATATTGGTTTGCGCTGGGCACACCTTAGTCCTCAAACTGATATCTTTGCTCTAGAACATTTTAAAGAAGTTGTGTGCAGCACATATGCCTAATGCAATGTCATTTGATTTTCTTGGCTGCTGCTTCCATGAGTGTTTGATGGTTGATCTGAACAAAATGAAGTCTTTGACAACTTCAATCTTTTCTCCACTTAACTTCATGTTATTTATTGGTCCAGTTGTGAGGATTTCTGTTTTCTTTACATTGAGGTAAAAACCCATACTGAAGGCTGTTGTCTTTGATCCTAAGTGTTTTAAATCCTCTTTGTTGTCAGCAAGCAAGGCTGTGTCACAGACTGTTAATGAGTCTTCCTCCAATCCTGATGCCACATTCTTCTTCATATAATCCATATAATCCAATTATTTGCTAAATATGCAGTTTGAATAAATATACGGAAAGAATACAACTTTGGTGCACACCTTTCCTGATTTTAAACCATTCACTCACTGTTCCCTTGTTCTGGTTGAATGAATGCCCCTTGGTCTATGTACAGGTTCCTCATGAGCACAATTAAGTGTTCTGAAATACTCATTCACCACAAAGTTGTCCATAGTCTCTAAAATTTATAGAATATTTCAGCATCTCAACAAGAAGACAAATAATCTATTAAAAAATGGACAGAGGACATGAATAGAAATGTCACTAAAGATGACATTCAGGTGGCTAACAACATATGAAAAAAAATGCTCAAGTTCATTAGCCATTGTTGATGTTAAGTGGTTTTGACTCCGTGACCCTGTATAGGGTTTCCAAGTAGCAGCAGGTGGGTTTGAACCTTGCTGTTAACATACTATAGCACCATACTAGGAGTCCTTGGTGGTGGTGGTGGTATGCCATGGAGTTGGTTCCAACTCACAGTGACCCTGTACAGCGTTTCTGAGGCTGTAAATCTTTATGGGAGCAGAAACCCTCATCTTTCTCCTATGGAACAGCTGGTAGTTTTGAACTGCTGACCTTGAGGTTAGCAGCTCAATTCGTAACCACTATGCTACCAGAGCTTGAGTTATAAATCAAAACAACAATCAGATATCATCTTACCCCAGCACTGATAACAAAGTTAAAAAAAACACATAGACCAAAAAATGCTCGTGAGGGTGTGGGAGACTGGGACACTCCTAAATTGCTGGAGGGACTTTAAAATGGTGCAAACATGTGGAAAACAGTATGACATTTACTCAGAGAGTTGAAAATAGAAATACTGTATAATCCAGCACTCCTACTAGCTCGTTTATATTTTCAAGAAATGAGCTGTGACACCAAAAGACACATACACATTCATGTTCAATGCAGCACTATTCACAACAGCAAAAAAGATGGGGACAGCCTAAATGCTCATCATCAACAAAAGGATGGTTTAAAGAAACTGGTGCATACACACTAATGAGCAATATGAATAATATGCAATGTCAAAGAATAATAATGAGTCTGTGAAACACCTCAAAACATGGATGAATCTGGAGGACATTATGCTGAGTGAAGTTGTTGTTGTTGTTATGTGTTGTGGAGTCGGTTCCGACTCATAGCGACCCTGTACAGGGTTTCTGAGGCTGTAAATCTTTACGGAAGCAGAAAGCCTCATCTTTCTCCCACGGAACAGCTGGTAGTGTCAAACTGTTGACCCTGAGGTTCGCAGCCCGATTCGTAACCACTATGCTACCATAGTGAAATTAGTCAATCACAAAAGGTCAAACATTACAGAAGACCACTGTAGAAAATGTTAAGAAAAGATTAGTTTGCTAACAGAAACGTTCTGTGGTGGTTACCAGAGGTAGGAGGGAAGGGAAAATTATTCACTGTTAACTTGGATGACGGGGAAAGCAATATAAAAATAAAAGGGAGGTTGGCACAGGTAAGAGTAAGATAGTGGAAGACACAGGGAGGAGTGTAAAAGTTAAAGTGAATAGAGGTAAATACTGTTAACTGATGGTACATGGAAGGGAGAACAAGCATTATAGTGACACAAGTATATGGATTGTTGAATGTGGGACTGAAGACCTGTTCTGTAAACATTCACTCAATTAACAATAAAAAGTTAAAGACAAAAAGGCTTCAGAATCAGGAAACAGGATCTGATATAAGAGTGATGTCAAGAGTTCTCAGGAGGATGGGAAAGGGAAAGTGCAATGTCAGCAATCCTGCAGACCACTTGCCCCGAGGGAAGGATTCAAAAAACAAATTAATCTGCTAATCTACTGTGTTTTAAGTATATCTGGGAGATTCAATTTTCTGTAACAGACAAAGTGTAAAAATTAATAACTCATGCTGTTGCACTGTAGGATCAGCACTGGACTGCAAACCACAGGTCGGCAGCTCAAACCCACCAACTGCTCCTCAGAAACCCTATAAAGGGTCATTATGAGTTGAAATCGACTTGATGGCAGTTAACAACAACAATAACAGAGAAAACAAAGCAAACAAAAAATGAACACATCTTTAACAAAATGGTGAAAAATAACTGTATAAGGAAATGTGATCATAGCACATTATTAGGCTCAGCTATGAATTATATTTAAACAAAATAATGTAAATATAAAAATCTGATTTAACCAAAAATTACAATTTAAAACATACTGTAAAACAAAACAAAACAAAATAAAACATTCTGTAAAGTTGTGGTGAATGTATGCAATTTGGGGAGACCTATAAAAGCAAGCTGAATCTTTTATAGTCTATAATTGTTGTTGTTGTTAAGTGCCATCGAGTCGGTTCCGTCCCATAGCGACCCTGTACAGGGTTTTTGAGGGTGTAAATCTTTACGGGAGTAGAAAGCCTCATCTTTCTCCCGCGGAGCGGCTGGTAGTTTCGAACCGCTGACCTTAAGGTTCGCAGCCCGATTCGTAACCACTACGCTATAATTAGGAATAAGTAAAACTAAAATTTAGTAATGTTAGGTGACATCCAGTAGGTACTAACTCATAGCAACTTTATGTACAACAGAATGAAACACTGTCCAGTTCTGCACCAACCTCACAATCATTGCTATGTCTGAGCCCAATGCTGCTGCCACTGTGCCAGTCCATCTCATAAGGGGTCTTCCTCCTTTTTAACACCCTTCACTTTACCATACAAGATTATCTTTTCTCCAGGGACTAGTCCTTCCTGATATTATGTCTGAAGTATAAGATATGAAGTCTGGCCATCATGGCTTCCAAGGAGCATTCTGGCTATACTTCTTCCAAGACAGATTGGTTTGTTCTTTGGGCAGTCCATGGTACTTTCAATATTCTCTTCCAACACCCTAACTCAAATGCATCAATTCTTCTATGGTCTTTCTTATTCAGTGTCCAACTTGCATATGCATATGCATATGAGGTTACTGAAAATACAATGGCTTGGGTTGGGTACACCTTAGTCCTCAAACTGATCACTTCAAAGAGGTCTTGTGCAGCACATCTGCCTAATAGAATGCGTCCTATGATTTGTGATTACTGCTTCCATGAGTGTTGACAGTTGATTTGAACAAAATGAAGTCTTTGACAACTTCTATTTTTACTCCATTTATGTGGATGTTGTTTATTGGTCCAGTGGTGAGGATTTTTGTTTTCTTTACATTGAGATGTCACCCATACCAAAGGCTGTGATCTTTGATCTTCATCAATAAGTATTTTAAACCCTCTTTGCTTTCAGCAAGTAAGATTGTATCATCTGCATATTGGAGGTTGTTAATGAATCTTCCTCTAATCCTGATGCATTTTTCTTCACATAACTCAACTTCTGGAATTATTTGTTCAGCATACAAACTGAATAAGTATGGTGAAAGAATACAACCCTGGTGCACACTTTCCTTATTTTCAACCATTCAGTGTTCCCTTGTTCTGTTTGAACAATTGCCTCTTGGTCTATGGACAGGTTCCTCATGAGCACAATTAAGTGTTCCAGAATATTCATTCTTTGCAATGTTATCCATACTGTGTCATGATCCACACAATCAAAAGCCTTTGTGTTGTCCATAAAGTATTACAGTATTTGACTTTATCTTCTTGAGTTGCCCTTTGAAAAAATTTAGTAGTACACATACAATATTTAGGAATACAATGTAAATACTAGACAAAGGAGATGAAAAAAAAAAAATTTACCAGTGTTGGTCTGGGGGGATGGGGGGGGGTGGGCGGGCATAATGATATATATTACCTTGATAAAAAAAATTAAATCTGAAACAAAAACAGTTCAGTTTTTTAAATAAAGATCAATATTAATGAAAACAGTTGTAACACAGGGCAAATTATGTTTCTTTATCTAACATTAATGCTAATTTACTAAGTCCCTCAGATTCCCTTCCATTGTTTACCTGGGCTTTTTGGTTGGGGGGTGTGCCATCATTGAAGAATCCAAAAAGTTCATCTATATCAGAGGCCTGGCTCCCTGTAGAAGCCATCCAGTTTCTACAATAGATTAAAAACCATGGATGATTAGATATTTAATGTATAGCATTCAAAATAGTACATACAGTAAATATTTTTGTAAGTTCTATTTTAGTAATAGTAATATTTTAGTATATTTTTAATAAACAAGTCCTGGTGTGGCATTGTAGGATAAATACTAAACTGCTAACCACAAGGTCATTGGTTCAAACCCACCAGCAGCTACTTGGAAATGCTGTATAGGGTGGCTATCAGCTGGAACTGATTTGACAGCATTTAACTACAACAAAGGTGCTTTGGAGATATCACCTGCTTTAACAGAAATTCATTAATTACCCAGAGTTCTAAACTTAAAGTATTAAACTCACTTAAAAATAAGTACCCTCTGGAATTATAGCATTTTGGTGCTCTATACTGAGATCTTGCTTTTGCGTCTGGATTGCCTTCTCAACCCAATGCCAACTTACGTCAATTATTCATCATCACATTGTGGCATCTCAGAAATACCTGCCATTCTCCTACCTGAGAAAGACTTGGGGAGGACTTACAGGATAAAACAACCCAAGAATAAGTGTGCTTTTGTTGTTGTTAAGTGTCTTCAAGTTGGCTCTGACTCATAGTGGCCCTATATAGGGTTTCCATGGAGTGACTGGTGGGTTTGAACTGCTGACCTTGTGGTTAGCAGCTCAATGCTTATCCTATGACACCACACCAGGACTTCAATAGCCCTTTAACAACCAAACCCCGCCCCCCCCTCCCCCAATCCACTGCCATGGAGTCGATTCCGACTCATAACGACCTTGTACAGGGATGCAAAAGCTGGACAGTGAATAAGGAAGATCGTAGAAGAATTGATGCCTTTGAGTTGTGGTATTGGAGGAGAATATTGAAAGTGCCATGGACTGCCAAAAGAACCAATAGATCTGTTTTGGAAGAAGTACAACCAGAGTGCTCCTTGGAGGCCAAGATGGCTAAGCTTCATCTCTCCTACTTTGGACACATTGTCCGGAGAGAACAGTCACTGGAGAAGGATGTCATGCTCGGTAAGGTGGAGGGTCAGAGAAAAAGAGGAAGACCCCAACGAGATGGATCAGCCAGGTGACATCATTGATGGCATCAAGTGTGGCGGCGGTAGTGAGGTTGGCCCAGGATCGGACATTGTTTCGTTCTGCTGTGCATGGGGTTGCTATGAGTCAGTTCCGACTCGATGGCACCTGACAGCAACAACAACATAGGGTTTCTGAGGTGATAAATCTTTTACAGAGCAGAAAACCTCATCTTTTCCCCACAAATCAGTTGGTGGGTTTCCACTGTGGACCTTGCAGTTAGCAGTCCAGTGCTTATCCTACAGTGTCACCAGGGAAATCACTTGGTCAAGAGTAGAATAATCAATAATAATTTGCTGATTGTTAAGAGGTTCCGGTCCTCAGAGGCAGTGGGCATGCCACTCTAGCTAATTAGAGTGGACTTGATTTTAAAGATACTGGGATAAGGAAAACCATATTATCAAGCAAAGATATATGGAAATTGATTAATTATCTTCAGGTGATACCTAGCAAAAGTACAATTTACTATGGAAATTGAATTATAAAGAGAATTTTATTTGTTCAAAACTTCATTGTTATTAAGTGTTGTTGAGTCAGTACAATTCATAGCGACTCCATATATGGTTTCTGAGGAACAGCTGGTGAGTCTGAACTGACAACCTATGGTTAGTAGTAGGCCAGTGCTTATTCTACACTGCCACACCAGGACACCAATAAGCTTCCTAAATCTAATGACTGTTGATTTTAAAATGGCAAAAATACTGTAAGTACATGAAGCGCCCAGCTGATAAGAGAGGGCATATGCATAAGAACCCACACTTGCAGATAATATCCACTTGACCTGGCTTCAATGACTAGACGATCCGAGTTCAACTAGAAGAAGAAAGAAGAGGTAAAAAACAGTAATCTGATACAATTTGATGAACTTGACCTATACCTATGGATGGAGTAGCTTAAAAGAGGGAACAAATCTTTACAGCGAGGATCATTCCCAACTCCTCCATACACAGAGTGGACAGGGATAGGCAACTTGGACAATGGCTATTCAAAATGGGGGCGGGGGGCTACAAAGGCAAGAGGCTTACAAGCTTTCAAGAGGGAGCCTATATCCAGAGGGTGCAGAGGAAGGTAGAATCTCCACTGAGTAGTATCCAATCTGTCTGGGTGGGCTGATGAAAGGAGATGTAGATAGCACTCGTGTGGTACAATAGTGAATAATTGTTATCAGGACTGACTGTGAGGGTTGGAAATGTAAAGGTAGACATTTTGTAGCAAAAGGAGGGGGGTGGTTGACTTTGCAGTCCAGGAAGAGAGGTCCCTGGGACCATCAAGGGAGAAGAGCAGAGAGCGGGACCCTACCCAGTGATGCCAGAGATGGAGGCAGAGACAATGACGTGGAGAAATGAAATGGGAGAGGGGCTGTGTGCTGATGACCGGGGGGCAGGCTTGCAGAATATACCCTTTGGTTGGTTGATGATGCATGGAGGGGACTGTAACCATGGCAATGAAACAATATACGATATACGATAGGCTGAATGTAAAGCTAATGTTCTCCCATGTAAACGAACACATAATTCACAATTAAACTTAAAAAAAAAAAAAACCCAAAAAAACCTTTAAGTACATATACACACACAATATAGAAGATAATATATACTACCAGAGTTTTATGTTTCATTTACAATACTTAGAAAGAACTGAATTGAATTACTAATAATTTTTGGAAGTTTACTGTTTTACTATATAGCTTTATTCATTATGAACTATTTTTAAAGTTTGTGGAATGCTTTTTTTCTTGTAAACAGGAGGCTCAGTGAACCTCTATCCCCATACTGCATCATATGGAACTGAATGGTTCATGGGTGTCAGTCACAGCAAAGAGATAGGAGGTAGATTACTTTTCTATTCAACTCTTTGATTCTGTTGGTATTATGCAGTGAACTATTTTCCTTAAAATATGTGCTGTAAATGTGTGGCACAGTAGGATAAGCACTGGACTACTAACTGCAAAGTTGGTCGTTCAAACCCACCAGTCTCTCCTTGGAAACACTCCATAGGGCTGCTATGAGTTGGAACTGACTGAATGGCAATTAACATACCTGGTTAAACTCCAGTGGTACAGAGGTTAGCTGTTAAACAAGAGGTAGAACCCACCAGCTTCTCCATGGCAGAAAGAACCTAACCATAATGGAAGCTCACTGGACCCCATGGTGATAGGGGCCACGTAGCAGCACTTAATTGACAATGACAAGGTGGGTGTGATTACCTTAAAGGACAGCAGAATCAAAGCAGAAATCAGAATAGTCTGACCTGTGTGGCTAATTATGCAGCGTGTCCCCAAGGAGTGAAACAGATGTGAAACCTACTAAATATTTATTTGATTTGTACATGAAGAACTGTAAGATAAATGAATAGCAGTCTAATTTGCAGTCTAACTTGAATCCGCAGAATAGAGAGTCATCGTCTCTCAATCAACTCCTAAATAAATAAATACAGATAGACAGATGTTGTTGTTTCGTTGTTAAGTGCCATTGAGTCAGTTCTGACTCATAAGACCCTGTATAGGGTTTCCGAGGAGCAGCTGGTGAGCTTGAACTACCAACTTTACAGTTCAAACTGACCTTGCAGTTCAGCACATTAGCCCACAGCCACAACAGGACTCCAGATAGATACATTTGTATTTGTGTGTGTATACACACACACACACACACACACACACAAAAATCTGGTAGCATAGTAGTTACGAATCAGACTGCTAACCTTAAGGTCGGCAGTTTGAAACTACCAGTGGTTCTGCGGGAGAAAGATGAGGCAGTTCTGCTCCCGTAAAGATTTACAGCCTCAGAAACCCTGTGCAGGGTCACTATGAGTCAGAGCTCTGGTAGTGTAGCAGTCAACAGTTTGAAACTACCAGCTGTTCCGCGGGAGAAAGATGAGGTTTTCTGCTCCTGTAAAGATTTACAGCCTCGGAAACTACGTGCAGGGTTGCTATGAGTTGGAACCAACTCCATGGCACACAACAACCACACACACACACACAGACACACATATACATAAATAGACAGAGACACAGAGAGAGAGTTAGTCCTGGTATGGCACTGAGGGTTAATCACTGGACTGCAAGGTCAGTTTGAACTGCAATGTCTGTGGTTCAAGTTCACCAACCACTCCTTGGAAATCCTATACAGGCTCACTATGAGTTGGAACTGACTCAATAGCACATGTTGTTGTTGTTGTTAAGTGCCACTGAGTTGGTTCTGACCCATAGCGACCCTGAACAGGGTTTCTGAGGCTGTAAATCTTTACGGGAGCAGAAAGCCTCATCTTTCTCCCACAGAACAGCTGGTAGTTTCGAACTGCTGACCTTGCGGTTCACACACCAATTCGTAACCACTATGCTACCAGAGCTCACATGTATTTATATGTATGCATGCATGTATATGGTGTCCTGTTGTGGCACCGTGGGTTAATATGCTGGATTGCAAAGTCAGTTTGAACCACAAGGTAGGAGGGTCAAGCTCACCATTTGCTCCTAGGAAACCCCATACAGGGTAGCTATGGGTTGGAACACACTCTACAGCACTTAATAACAAGTATGTACACATATATGTATACAAAACACATGTTTTGTGTTCTATGTGTGCATCAAATATTTTTGCTTTGTTCATTTGTCAAATATAAGCTATAAATGGGGCCAGTGGGTTTTCGATTGTGTGCGTTTTAGTTGTATCATGTTAGGCACAAGAATGACTTTATAATTGTCTTTATTTAGAGATTAGGCATATGGCTTTTAGGTGCCAAATTGAAAAGGAGTGGACTGTGACAGTAGAAGTTTTGTATCACCTTGACTGGACCAGGATTCCCAGTGGTTAGGCAGTTGAGATCTAATACAGTGTAGTTAATTACATGATTTTTGGTGATGAATAATGTTAACAATTAATTATATGACAATTGGCTATGAGCAGGTGTA